GCCCCAGCTTCCTTCGCAGCGGGGCCTGCAGGGCATCCCTTTCCTCTCGCAGGCCCTCCAAAGTCTGGAGCCAGCTGCTTCCCAGCTGTAGGGTCTGGGTTCCCACTGTAGAACGCCTGATCCTACGTGGGTTCCTACTTCTGTTTGGGTTCCCACATGGGCCCTCCTGGCTCCTATGTGGGTTCCCTCATTTTGGTGGGGCCTCTCATCCCCTTTCTCTCTAGGGGCCTCCGTCTTCCCCACCTCTTCTCTGTGGCTGGTCTCGGACCGAGCCCTTGTCTCAGACACTCCCCCTTTCTGCCTCAGTGGGCAGTGCCTCTTTAAATGTCCCCGTTGGTGGCAGTGGAAGCACTTTCTGGGTCTTCCCCCTGCCACATCCCTACTCCTGCTTGTTTGGGCCCTAGCCCTTCCTTCTGGGCTGGCCCGGGCCTTGGGAGTCCTGTAGGGGCACTCTCTCTTCAGGTGCCCTGGCTCCACAGACCCAACAAGCTGGGGGCCCCCCTGTTACTCTCACAGGGGGTGCCTTTTCTGGGTGGGGCCTCTCCTGGCTGGAGCTTCGGCGGAGCGTGGCAGCCCTGCGACCCAGGCCGGAGCGCTGCAGCCCTGTGACCCCGTGACCCTGGCTGGGGCTCCGGCGGAGCGCGGCCAGCCCTGCAGTCCCGCTCTCCTGGCTGGAGCTCCGGCTGGACCATGGCAGCTCCGCGACCCCGGCTGGAGCTCCGGCCAGAGCGTGGCTGCCCCCCGGCCCAGCGACCCTGGCTGCAGCTCCGGCCAGCCCCGCGGCCCCAGCCAGACCGCAGCAGCCCTGCAGCTCCACGACCCCAGCCGGACCGTCGGCCAGACAGCGGCAAGCCCCGTGGCCCTGCATTCCTGGCCAGAGTGCCATCCGGAGCGCGGCAGCCCCGCGGGGCCACCTCCCCGAGCCGGCAATCCGAAGTGCTGCCCCAGGAATCGGGCCCCGCACTTGCTAAAGCCGGCCCTGTCAGGGAATATTGGTGCTTTGATAGTATAGTGGTAGGAAAATTAGAAATTCATTAGAAAAGACTGGACAGGGAGTGTCACGTTAAATTAAAAGAAAGCATATCAGTATTTTGCTTTTTGAAATACTTATTTTGACCTCCCAAATAATCAGTTGAGATATACTAAAGTTCTTTTCACATCCTGTTTAGTTAATTATTTTTAAGAACCAAAATCTGAGCTAGTCCTCTCACAAAACTAAGACACAGTCCCTGCCCCAAGGAAGACACAATACAAGGTCTTGATCCTGGAACCTGCTTCAATGGGGCTCACATTGTCACCAGTGAAGAGCAGTTTGCAAGACTGGTGCTTAAGTTCAACATGACACACAAATGAAAGTGAAAAGGAAGACAGGGAACAACAGTGGCATAAAAAGAGCATGCCATAACTCAGTAAGGCATCTACAAATCTTGACAATATTGACAAGGGATTTTTAGTGTTTGTTTCAGGGTCTTTTCTCCCAACATTAAATTTTGATAGTTTCCCTTTCTTATTCAATAGCAAGGACAGCGCTTCATTACCCCCAAAATATTGTACCAATGTTGACTTTTATGCAAATGGTTTGATCCAACCCAGCTGAGGTATCTTTTTCTGTCAGCCATGGAAGGACAGATGGACAGACCTAGAATACAATTAAGTGCTTTATTGTCTGCTTCTCTTTCAAATTATTACAAGTTCCTGGTTGTCACAGAAATTGTTTAGTTGACCTTTCATGGATCAGTGCTAATATACAGCAGCCAAATGGGTTTTTCCAAAAGCATGTAATCCTTAGAGGCTTTGCTTTTCAAATTCTCTCTCTCAGAAGGATTATAAACTTGGATTTCCAACTCCAGACAGGCGCGCGCTCTCTCTCGCTCTCTCAGACACACACACACACACCACGAGAGAGAGAGAGAGAGAGACTTTAATTTAAAAGAACAGATAAATGTTACTTTTCAGTTTATATGAGAGTCAAAGATGGTATATTTATCAAATTGCCATAGTAAATAAAGAGCTAAAGAGATTAAACTAGGCAGACAGGCAAAAGTGAGTCCCCTGCAAGAATATTCTTTCTTAAACCCCATAGCTTTCTGTCTGATTCTTTTCCTTTTTTTTTTAAATGTCTGCAATGGAAGTGTAATCTTTTTATGTAGCGTTTCTCATTGAATAAGCTTGGTGGGCAGTTGGACTATATTTTGAATGAGATGACGTTTTACTATGCATTCTAGAGAGAACTGTTTAATAAATCAATTCTTGGTTTGCATATATATAAAAATATCATTTAAAATCCTATTTATTACAGGAATGTCTGTAGAAAGATAAATGTGTGTTTGCACTGAAGATAATGTTAGGAAAAAAACACTCGGTACATTTTCCACAGGGCTAGGGAGCTGTGTTTGTCACTGTTCTTTAAGATTTAATCCACTGAGTTTTGAGGTGCAACAAATATGCCCCCTAAGCTTTGGAAAGGCGAATCTGTGGCACATGATGCCAATTCCTCAGGTACAATACTTTCATGGTTTGGGCCACACCAGGAGGCAGTTCCAGAAGTGGGGACAAAACACAGACTCAAAAGAGAAGCTTGAAAAGAGGTTTCAGAGTAGCAGCCGTGTTAGTCTGTATCCGCAAAAAGAATAGGAGCTTATTTGAGCATAAGCTTTCATGGGCTACAGCCCACTTGAAAAGAGGAAAACAACAGGGGGAAAAGAGCAGGAGGGGCTGGCAAGGGGAACAGGAAACTAAGATAGGAGTAAAGAAGAAGGATGGGAGGGAGGATGTGGAAGAAGCAGAATGGGGA